ATGCCCTGATCTGACATGGTCCAGCCCGCCTCGCCTCAGACAATCTTACAACTCTGGGCCGAGAGATGCCGTGACCTGAGATGGTCCGGCCCTTTTCGCCTGGGACATATTCGATGGGGCTCCGAAGTGTCCGGACTTAAAGTGATCCAGCCAATTTTGCCTGCGAGATCCTCGCCGCTCGGAGCTCACGGATGCCGCGCAAGAGGTTGCCCAGCCAATTGCGCCTGAGACATCCTCGCAACACCAGGGCTCGAAGATGCTGCACGGGAAGTGGTCCGACCAAGTTCGCCTGAGACATCCTCGCGCCTCCTGGGACATCCTCGCGACTCTGGGCTTGGAGCCCTACAATGGTCCAGCCTGTTTTGCCTGCGGCCTTCCTCGCAACTCTGATATCCGAGGTGCCGCGTGCGAGGTGGTCTAACCGACTGCGCCAGGGGCATCTTCCCGACTCTGACCTCCGAAATGCCGTTTCACCTGACACATCTGCGAAACTCTGGCCTCCCAGTTGTCGCGCTGGGGGTGCTTCCTCGTCGCCATCGTCGTCGTCGTCGGCGTCGTCATTGACATCGTACCCGTCGTCGTCGTCTCCGTTGTCGTCGTCGTCGTCGTCTCTCTTCGTCGTCGTCATCACCACCGCTGTCCTCGTCGTCGCCGCCGCCGCCGAAGCCGCCGCTGTCGCCGCCGTCGTCGCCATTGTCTTGGGCATGGTCGTCGTCGGTGTCGTCGTTGCCGGCGCCGCCAAGGCCGCCGGCGCTGTCGTCATCGTTGTCGTCGTTGACATCATCGCGGCACGCGCCGCTTTCACCCTGGTGGTCGTGACAGCCGTCGCCGCCACCGTTTGATGATGGCGTCGTTGCGTGGTCCTTCTCCTCATTTTCTGCCTCGTCCCCGCCCTCCTCGTTGCCTTCTCATTATCTTGCCCCTGCCTTTCCCCCCCGTCGCCGGACCCCACATAAGGTTCACAAAAAATCCACATAGGAAATCGACGTCGTCCACGTCGCCGCCGCAGCGGTGGTGATCGTCGTCGCTGTCGTCGTCGTCGCATCGCCATCGTGGTCGCCGCCGCCGCCGCTGCCGTCGTTGCGGTCGCCCCCGCACACGTCGTCCGCGCCACCGTCGCCGTCGACGCTGTCGCGTCGTCATCTTACTCGTCGCTGTCGCCGCGTTCGTCGTACCGTAGTCGGCATCGCCTTCACCGTCGCCGCTGCCACGGGGCGCTTCGTCGTCGCCGCCGTCGTCAACGCCGACGCCGCCAAGGACTCTACCAAGGGAGTTCTACAATGGCGCAGCGACAAAACCAGGGAATGCCCTTCAATGCTCTGCCTGCTCCTTGCGCGCGCTCGCCGCCCTCTTGGCGCCGCGGGAGCGCGTCGGCTGCCCCGCAGCGCGTGCGCTGGCTGCCCCCCGGCGGGAACATCATTTCGAATCCACTTGCCAACCACTCACCAGAACTGCTCGTCACAACCGTTCGTCAGGTCACAGGGGGGATGCGCAGATTCCTTCGACGCCTATAAACAAAAAGAAGCAAAAGGAAAACAACGAAGAGCTCTGAGTTACAAGGATGTCTCGGGCGAGTCGAAGATCACCATAGGTCAGGACATACATGGGCCTAGAGTTGCGACGATGTCTAAGGCGAAAAATGCCCCAAGCCAAGAGTTGCGAGGATGTCTCAGGCGAAACTGACAGGACCACCAGTTTCGTGGCATCTCGGGGCTCACAGATGCCGCAAGAAAGAGTGTCCGACCTCTTTCGCATGAGAGGTCCTCGCAATTCTGAGCTCCCAGATGCCGTGACCTGAGGTCCAGCCCGTCTCGCCTAAAACACCCTCGTAACTCTGGGATCCTATGCCGTGACCTGAAATGGTCCAACCCCTTTCGCCTGAGACATCCTCGCAACTCTGAACTCACAGATGCCGCGCGAGCGTTGGTCTGGCCCGTTCGCCGGACGCATCCTCGCAACTCGAAGCTCTCAGATGCCGTCACCTGATTTGGTCCGGCCCGTTTCGCCTGAAACATCCTTGCAAGTCTGGCTGTGGCTGGCGCTCTGGCGAGAGTGCCATCCCAGAAAGGGGTGTGGCCGGCGCGCAGACGACAGCACCATTCCTTCGACAGAACTGTTGCCAGCGCTCAGGCGACAGCGCACCACTCCCGATCAGGGATGTGGCCAGCGCTCAAGCGAGAGCAACATTCCGACACAGGAGCATGGCTGGACTTCCAGGTGTAGGCCGCGCTGGCTGTCTTCCTCCTCCTCCTGCTGCTCCTCCTTCTAGTCCTTCTCCCCCTAGCTCTTCCCAAACCTCCCCAGTCTTACCCCGTACTCCTCCTCCTCCTCCTCCGCCTCCTCCTCCTCACCTTCTTTTGCCTCCTTGTCTCCTCTGCCCGCTTCTCCTGCGCCCTCCCCGCCCTCCCTTCCTCCTCCTTCTCCTTCTACCATTCCTTCGCCTCCTTGTCTCCTCTGCCTGCTTCCCCTCCTTCTCCTCCTCCTCCCCCTCCTGCTCCTCCTGCTCCTCCTCCTCCTCCTCCTCCTCCTCCTCCTCCTCCTCCTTCTCCTCGAAAGAGCGTCGACTCGGCTTGGGAACTGCGCGTGGCAGCCAAACTCTGAAAGTATGGGGGGGGGAGGGGGAAGGAACGGCGGGACGGAAGGGGAGAGACGGAACGAGTGGAGGACACGGAGGGGAGAGATGAGCTTTTTTCCTTCCAGTCGCGCGGGCGCGGGTCAAATTACTCGCGTCCAAAACCGCGCGTCGACGCGACAAACGCCAGCCAATTAGGCCGTGATGCGCAGAAGAGTGCATTAGAATATTGCTTGCGCAGAGCAGGTACGGAGGTAGAGGTATGGATGTATGGAGGAATGGTGGTATGGATAAGAAGAGAGTAAGGAGGAGTGGAAGCATAAAACTCTGAACGCATGTAGGTGCATGCAGCTATGGGCGCGCGCGGGCATGGATGAAGGGCCGCATGGATGCGTGGAGTCTGAGAGTGTGGGACTATGGATATGTGGATGTATGGTGTTACATGGTCAAGGACATCTGGAGGCATGGAACTATATATACACACAGATATAAACATATCTGATGTAACCATATTATAACCATCGCGCGCTTCGCGAGCGCTCAAGTTCTAGCTAGGCCCGACAGGCTAACGCATGGAATATCACTTGTTGAATCGCCTTGTGCATCTAACGACCTTGTTGGAGTCCCTGCGCAAGCCTCGGAAGCATATAGAAGGGGAAATGCGGAAACCACAGAATCATCAATTTCCTTTAGGTGTTCGATGATTTGGGGCCCTCGAAGGCTTCCTGGGATATTTGTTCGATGGTGACGGGGCCTTAATGATGGTCTGATGTGCAAAAATAAACGGGGGGTCAATTTAAATTGGCCTGGCGAAGGACCCAACCAGATGCAGTTGTGAGCACCGCTGTTGTAGCCATCGTCTTCGGTGGAGCCCCCTTGTAGGGCCACGAAGCGTTGTACTGTGTGGGGGAGACGCATGCGGACTACGCCACTGGAACATTTGGTGAAGCCCCCTTGTAGGGCCACGAAGCGCTGTACTGTGTGGGGGAGACGCATGCGGACTGCACAATTGAGACCTTCGGTGGAGCTCCCTATGGGGCCACGAAGCGCTGCACTGGTGGGGGAGACGCATGCGGGCTGCGCCTCTGGGACCTTCGTCGGAACTCCCTGTGGGGCCACGACGCGCTGTACTCGGTGGGTGAGACGCATGCGGGCTGCGCAATTGAGACCTTCGGTGGAGCTCTCTATGGGGCCACGAAGCGCTGTACTGGGTGTGGCGGACGCATGCGGGCACCCCCACTGGGGCCTTTGGTGGAGGTCCATAAAACCCTCTCGGGCCGTCCTGTGCGCCTCCGGCGCCGTCTTGGGGCCCTCTTGGGCCGTTTTGGGGCCGTTTTCAAAGCCTCTGGGGCTGTCTTGCAACGGAAAATATGACCTCTGGGGCCGTTGTGGAGCGTCGGAAAATTAAAAGACGAGAACATGGAAATCCTTCAAAAACCTCTTTGGATAAGCAACAAGTTGTGCCTCCCGGGGCTCATTTGGAGGCATCTTGGAAGTTTCTGGGGGCGTCTTGGAGGCCTCTTGGATAGTCAAGGGCTAATTCTGGCCGCCTTGGCCGTCTTGGCCGCCATTGGTCGTTCCCGCGGTCTGGAAGCGCCATGTTTGGCGATCCGCAGGCCGTATGCGGGCGATCTTACGGCGCCCCCGGCGCCCCAGCAGAACCCCCGGAACACCCCAGTCCCCCAATGGGGACACAGGTCACGGACGGAAAACCGTAGGTTTTCGCTCGAAGAGGTTCCCAGGAGGGCTCCAGGGGACCGTATTGAAGCAATATGTTGGGCCATCTTGGAGCGCGCTGCCGCCATCTTGGCGGTTTTGGTGGCTTGTTTTGGCCGTTTCGGAATCCATCGGGGGCATCTCGGACGCCTGCCTTGGAGAGCCCTGGGGAGGCGTGAGGCAGCCCAGCGAGCCGCGGGGAGAGGGGGCGACGCATGCAGAGAAGCGCGTCCCGATGGGTGGGGGCCTGCAGGTACCCGACCAACCAGGCCTTGGCATTCTTCCATGCCCCAACGTGCACGGGACACTGTGGCGGATCGGTGGGGTGGGGGGGGGGGAAATTGAGGGGGGATGGGGCGAGGGACACAGGATGCGTCGACACCAGAGGCGCAAAAAGGGAATTGAGGGAGTGAAATCGCTGTACTCCCAGGCGAGAGGGGCTTGGGGAGGGCTCCTCCTCGTCCTCCTCCTCCTCCTCCTCCTCCTCCTCCTCCTCCTCCTCCTCGTCCTCCTCCTCTTCCTCTTCCTCCTCCTCTTCCTCCTCCTCCTCCTCCTCCTCGTCTCCTCCTCCCCTCCTCCTCCTCCTCCTCCTCCTCCTCCTCCTCCCCCCTCATTGTCCTCCTCCTCCTCCCCCCCCCTCCTTGTCCTCCTCCTCCTCCTCCTCCTCCTCCTCCTTCCTCCCCCGCCCTCCTCCTAGACGAGGCGAGGATCCAGCTGCTTCCAGGGCAGGGCGCGCGCGCGCGCTGTGGAGGAGGCAGGGGGCGCCCAGGCCATCGTCGAGACTGCCAGCGTGTTCGACAACCTGAACGCCAACACGCAGAGCATCCTGAAGAAGGGCCAAGCCTTGAGCATGCAGTCCTGGCTCACCAGCGGTTCCGATCCTCTTTACGTACGTTTTGTCACACACGTACTGGTGTATGGGATATATATATATATGTATACATGTGTATATATACATATAGACGACACACACACATAATATATATAGATATATAGATATATATATGTGTGTGTATATAAACATATAGAGAGAGAAAAAAGAAACAATCAAGAGAGAGAGGGAGAGAGAGACATAAAGACAGCGATAGCGACAGGGACAGAGACAGAGAAGGCGACGGAGGGAAGGAGGGAGATGCGGAGAGGGAGAGGGAGAGATGGCGAGGGAGAAGGAGAGGGGGCAAGAGGGAGAGGGGGGTAGGCCAAGCAAGGGGAGGCATGAAGGGAGATGGTCCAAGCATGGTGCGGGGACTGGGTGGGGGAGAGGTTGTGAATGGAAGTGCGCTCCTCTGGCAGGCTAGCGTCACACTCATCGCTGCACTTGCACGAGGGTCGTACTCGTCGACTCTCTGCCATGCTGCTCGTGTCGTTTCTGCACGTTCCTCCTCGGCCCCCTGCTGCTGCTCATCATCATCGCTCTCCCTCGCGCGTTCGACTGGAGTTCAAGCCGCAGTGGAATCGGTCGCGCAAGCTGCGCCCCTCAGGCGTGTCTTCGGAGGCCACCCTGAAGGTCAAATTCGTCACGAGCCACTTGTTCAAGGAGGGCCTGTTGACATGATTGTTGGAGAGGGTCCTTGGCGCCGACCTTGAATGTAAACCCATGCTATGAATACAGAGGGATCCTGAGACATGGGAGATGGGATCACCCTGCTTGTTCAAAGCACAGGAGGGAGTGGTTCAGCAACCGTTGACTGTGCAGCCGGACAGCATGACAGGTAGCACCCTGTATTTCGTCATCATTCGAGTTCGGGGTGAAAGGTTGTAGCAATATTGAAGGAACTGCAACGTGCAGGGCGCCCTGGGTTTCCTGGGCGTCGGTGCCTTTCGGAGCGCGCGCCCGAACCTCCAAGAAACTTCCGGGCATTCGCGGTACTTGGCTTTTTTTTTCCACCCCACCCAGGGACAAATGGGCACAGTGTTTGCCCCGAAGATTGCGTGTTCGATCGGTTTGGGCTTCCTGGTGCCAGATTGCTATACGCAAGCGATCTAGAAACCGCTCGGCCAGGGTACCCTGGTTTTCTTCGTTTGCAGCCGAAGTGCAAGAACCCCAACCCTGGACCAATGAACCTCGGCGGATTTCAGGGTTGGCTTTCTTGCGGAGGGCTTTCTTGTGGATACTGTTCCACTGTACTGAGTTGGTCGAGTGCTGCTATCCACTGCCGCCTGCGCCCTGCTGCTCTCCCCTCACCTCATTACACTCCCTCTCCCTTCTCGCCTTCCCCTCTCCCACTTCCCTCTCCCCTCCCCTTGTCGGGCTTTCGCGTGCCATCCTGTTCCCTTCGCGCCCCTCCCCGTGCCCATCCCATCTCTCTTCCCTCTGCACCCGCGCAATTCCCAATCATGTTCCCCTCCCGTCCTCTTGTGCGTAGGCACCCGTAGCGTCAGCTTTCTCTCCCTTCCTCCACCCCTGCCCACTGAGCCCGGCCATTCACTGCAGCGCACTTTCGGTACCTCCTCTCCTCCCACCCCTCCCGCCCTTCCCTCTCCCCATGCTGCCCTCTTCCTCCCCTCCTCTTCATCTTACCTCCCCTCCACCCCCGCCTCCTCCCCATTCATCCACTCTCCTGTTGTGAAGGACTTACGGCTGGTGCCGCCAACCCTGAAGACGACGACGTGGACGACCAGGATGAGGAGAAGGAGAAGGAGGAGGAGGAGGAGTAGCAGGAGGGGGGGAGAGGAGGGCAATAGGAGGTAGGAGGAGGAGAAGGAGCAGGAGGAGGGGGGGCAGGAGGAGGTCATGATGATCATGATGATGATCATGATGATGATGATCATGATGATGATCATGATGATGACCATGATGATCATGATGACCATGATGATGATCATACTGATCATACTGATGATACTGATGATCATGATGATCATATTGATCAAGATCATGATGCTGATTATGATGTTGCTGATGATGATATTGACGCTGATTATGATGATGATGCTTATTATGACGATGATGATGATGGTGGTGATGATGATGATGCTCATGCTGATGCTGATGATGATGATGATGATGATGATGATGATGATGATGATGATGATGATGATGATGATGATGATGATGATGATGATGATGATGATGATGATGCTGATGATGATGATGATGATGATGATGATGATGATGATGATGATGATGAGCAGGAGGAGGAGGAGGAGGAGGAGGAGGAGGAGGAGGAGGAGGACGAGGAGGAGGAGGACGCCGATGACGCCGAGGAGAGGGAGGAGGTGAAGGAAGAGGAGGATGGCATCCTGACCGAGGACCTGCCCCGGGACCACCCTCGGGGACCCCCCGGCCCCCCCCCGCCGGCCGGGAAGGGATCAAAAGTATGGGGCTTCCAATCGATTCAATGACAACGTTGTTCGATTTCGTTGTAGCTAGCGCGCGTCCAGACGACAGTCCAGGGTAACAGGGCGGACTGGCGCCAGCGAGGTTTCCACGTGGGCTGACGCGCTTGCATAGCTCAAGGACGAGAAGGAAACGGTGACGACGACGACGACGACGATCACGAACGGAAGAACGTATTCCACACGCTGACAGGGTCGGCGGATTTCCTCTCAGTCCTTTCTAATTCCTTGCTCCATGCTCCCCTGATTCGCCCCGTATCCTCCCACTTCCTCTGCATTTCCTCTCCCCCTTATGGTCCTTTCTCATCTTTGTGTTTCCTTCCGTCCTGTCCTCTCCCCCGTCCCTCTCCCCCATGGGGGATGGGGAAGGATGGAAGGAGGCATAAAAGATAGGAGGGTGCTCCCTGCCCTCTCCCCCCCTCCCCATATCCTCTCCCCCACTGGTCCCTTCTCATCTGTATGAGTCCTTCCATCCTGTCCTTCTCCTCCTCCTCCTCCGCCTCCTCTTCCTCCTCCTTCTCCTCCTCCTCCTCCTCCGCCTCCTCCTCCTCCTCCTCCTCCTCCTCCTCCTCCTCCCCCTCCTCTCCTCCTCCCTCCTCCTCCGCCTACTCCTCCTCCTCCTCCTCCTCCTCCTCCTCCCCCTCCTCCCCCTCCTCCCCCTCCTCCCCCCACTCTGCCCCGTCCCTTCCCATCCCTGGTCTCGCCCCTCCCGCCTTGAGAGGACCGCGCCATGCAGAAGTGCGGCACGGTCTTCAGCGACTGCAGCCTGGTGCAGGCGTCCCACCGGGGGACGTCGGCAGCTTCCCACGGGGGGGAAAAGAGGAGGAAGAAGATGAAGAGGAGGAGGAAGAAGAGGAAGAAGAGTTGGAGGAGGAGGAAGAGGAAGAGGAGGAAGAAGAAGATGGTGGAACGGAGAGGGAGAGCGAACAGGAGGATGAGGGAAGGAGGAGGCGGAGGCCGAGGAGCAATACAAAGGGGCGGTCGCGTGCAAGCGGGCGCGCCGGCTTTCCGCTGCTAGGCGAGAGAGAGAGAGAGAGAGTTTGAGAGAGAGGGAGAGAGTCAGAGAGTGAGTGAGATAAGCAACATTCTCCACCAGAGTTCCCTCCGTAGCCATTTTGGCGCAAGTCATCCGGAGCCAGCCCTGCGTTTGCGCTGGCCTGGCACCACAGGGCGCGTGTTGCGAATATCTGAATCCTGTCACGTGTTTGAGCTGCGTGTTCGCACTGCTCGGTCAGGAGGGGAAAAAACACACAGACACAATGAATCGTCGATCCCCAGGAAAATATAGGAAAATATTGGAAGTGGGGGGGAAGACGAAAACCCAGGAAGTATGGGAAATTATGGGGAATCCTTTTATTTGTGTGTAGTTATTTGTGTGTCCCAGGGCCCCTTCAACAGTTCACATAAACGGCATCCCCGTTGTCATTGCCAGCGCAGTTACTCTGGCTAGCCGCCGACGCAATAAAGTCGCACTGTCCGGCCTCAGCATCGCAGGCTTCGGGATATCCTCTCTGGTGGGCGTTCGTACGACAGTCTGCACAGCCACAACTTGCAAGCTGCTGGCGGTTTCTGGCCCATTCCTGTCGTGTGCTTCGGCGCCTGCGCTCGGGTCCGAACTCGGAGAGTTCGGTGAGTTGCACTTACACGTGCACACATCTGGTGCAAAGTGACATCAATGACATCCAGAAATTGGATGTCACGAGTACAGCCGGAAGATCAAGTTGCATTCAAATCCATCACGAGACCCAGGATCAACAACATAATGCTACGCCAAGGTTGAAGATGGGGACGTTGCAGAACTCACCTTGACGTCGAAACGTGAAGACAGCTTTGCTTCTGCACTTCTGACAGCGTTTGGCGTCGTCTTCGTCAGCATGACCTCTTGTGTCCGACTTTGTGGTATCCAGCATGTGAGACTCCGACGCCCTCCGCAATAATGAGACGATGCCAGCCGTGAGACTCTCATGGTGACACGGTGGGGTTGCACCTGGAAACGGCGTAGGGAGCTGAGACCACAGCCCTACCATCAAACCTGCACGTTGAGGACATGCTGAGACTCAGTGGGCCCTGGAAACGACAGGGCCGTTTTTTTACCGGTTCCGTTTTGCCGTTTTTTTGCCGGTTTCGACGCCGTTTTTGTACCCGTTCCGTCGCCGTTTTTTGACCGGTTCTGGCTCCGGTTCCAATCCTGGAGCAGTTTTTTTGCCGTTTCCATTTTCAAGGGACATTTTTGGGGAAACGGTGAAAAAAAGGCCCTGCCGTTTCCGGGGCCCACAAAGTGTTGAGACAGTTGTTCATCAATCGAATTACGCATCTGATTGTTCACTGCAGAGATGAGTTCGGCAAGCAAAAATATGCTACCAGAGTTCCACACAGAAGGATGCCACAGCGGGGCCGAAGGTGGGGCCACTGGGCGCGCTCGGGGCCTGTCAAGGGCCTCAAATGGCACTCAGGCGGGGCCTCCCGGGAGGAGCGGGACGGGCGCGAAACTTTGTGAATAGTATGGTACGGTGCTCCGAACCCCCTTCCTCGCTCAGGCGGGGCCTCCCTGGAGGTGCGGGGGGGGGCGCGAAACCTTCAAAGTTGTATGTTTCTCCGGTGCCCTCCTCGCTCTGGCGGGGCCTCCTTGGAGGTGTGAGAGGGGCACGAAACGTTGTAACTAGTATGGTTCTCCGGTGCCCTCCTCGCTCAGGCCTCCAGGTGCGGGGGGGGCGCGAAACCTTCTAAGTTGTATGTTTCTCCGGTGCCCTCCTCGCTCTGGGAGGGCCTCCTTGGAGGTGCGAGAGGGGCACGAAACGTTGTAAATAGTATGGTTATCCGAGACCCTCCTCGCTCAGGCGGGGCCTCCCTGGAGGTGCGGGGGGGGCGCGAAACCTTCTAAGTTGTATGTTTCTCAGGTGCCCTCCTCGCTCTGGCGGGGCCTCCTTGGAGGTGTGAGAGGGGCACGAAACGTTGTAAATAGTATGGTTCTCCGAGACCCTCCTCGCTCAGGCGGGGCCTCCCTGGAGGTGCGGGGGGGGGCGCGAAACCTTCTAAGTTGTATATTTCTCCGGTGCCCTCCTCGCTCTGGCGGGGCCTCCTTGGAGGTGTGAGGGGGGCACGAAACGTTGTAAATAGTATGGTTCTCCGAGACCCTCCTCGCTCAGGCGGGGCCTCCCTGGAGGTGCGGGGGGGGCGCGAAACCTTGGTTCTCGGGTACCCTCCTCGCTCTGGCGGGGCCTCCCTGGAGGGGTGGGAGTGACACGAAACCTTGTAAGTAGTATGGTTCTCTGATTTCCTCCTCGCTCTTGCGGGGCCTCCCTGGAGGGGTGGGCGAGGCACGACACCTTGTAAACAGCATGGCTCTCCGATACTCTCCTCGCTTTGGCGGGGCCTCCTTGGAGGAGTGGGAGGGGTGCGAAACCTTGTAAAAAATGTATGGTTCTCTGATGCCCCCCTCGCTCTGGCGGGGCCTCCCTGGAGGGTGGGAGAAGCACGAAACTTTGTAAATAGTATGGCTATCCGGTGCCCTCCTCGCTCAGGCGGAAGGGTGGGAGGGGAGCGAAACTTTGTGCATTATTTGCAAGAGCTTCACGGATTGAGGGCGGGTGGTTTTCAAAATGTTGCTCTCGCCTCAGCGCCGCGCACATTCATTTTAAATAAATGCAAGAGCTTCACGGATTGAGAGCAGGTGGTTTTCAAAATGTGGTTCTCGTTTCAGCACCGCGCACATTCGTTGTAAATATTTGCAAAAGTTTCACGGATTGAGGGCGGGTGGCTTTCAAAATGTGGTTCTCGCTTCAGCACCGCGCGCATTCGTTTTAAAGATTTGCAAGAGCTTCGCGGATTGAGGGCGGGTGGTTTTCAAAATGTGGTTCTCGCTTTAGCGCCGCGCACACTCGTTTTTAACATTTACCAGAATTTCACGGATTGAGGGCGGGTCGTTTTCAAAATGTGGATCTCGCTCTAGCGCCGCGCACATTCTTGCTTAAGCGTTGCAAGAATTATGCGGATTCCCATGCTCAGCGCACCAGAAAGTGTTTTTTTGGAAGGGTTCAGGATTATGCGGTCGCAACAGTTATGTTGATTCGCTGTGTCGAGGTCCCAAAACTGGCGTTCTGGCACGATTCTGGATTGTCAGGGCGCAGCAGTCAGGTTGATACGTGGCGATGAAATCCCGAGAACAATGTTTTGGCACGCTTCAGGATCTTCAAGCCCTTGTCTTCCAGCGAGGCAGTTCCCCCAATGGAAATGAATCGTGTAGGGGCCCTCACTGTTGATGATTCTTGGGTTTCCACTGGTCCTCCTCCTCATCCTCATCCTCCTCCTCCTCCTCTCCCTCCCCCTCCTCCTCCTCCTCCTCCTCCTCGTCCTCCTCGTCCTCCTCCTCGTCCTCCTCCTCGTCCTCCTCCTCCTCCCACTCCTCTTCCTCCTCCTCCTCCTCCGCCTCCTCCTCCTCCTCCTCCTCCACCTCCCCTCCTCCTCCTCCTCCTCCCCCTCCCCCTCCCCCACCCCCTTTCCTCCTCCTCCTCCTCCTCCTCCCTCCTCCTCCTCCTCCTCCTCCTCCCTCGTCCTCCTCCTCGTCCTCCCCTCCTCCTCCCACTCTTCCTCCTCCTCCTCCCCCTCGCTCCTCCGCCTCCTCCTCCTCCTCGTCCCTCCTCCTCCCTCTCTTCTCCCCCCTCCTTCCCCTCCCCCTCCTCCTCCGCCCCCCTCCTCCTCCCTCCTCCTCCTCCTCCTCCTCCTCTCCTCCTCCTGCTCCTCCTCCTCCTCCTCCTTTTTCCGCCCCCTCCTCCTCCTTGTCCTCCTCCTCCTCCTTCCTCCTCCTCCTCCTCCTTCTCCTCCTCCTCCTCATCCTTTTCCTCTTCCTCTTCTTCCTCCACCTCCTCCTCCTCTCCTCCTCCTCCTCCTCCTCCTCCTCCTTCCTCCTCCCCTCCTCCTCCTCCTCCTCCACCCCTCCTCCTCCTCCACCTCCTCCTCCTCCTCTCTCCACCTCCTCCTCCTCCTCCTCCTCCTCCTCCTCCTCCGCCTCCTCCTCCTCCTCCTCCTCCTCCTCCTCCTCCTCCTCCTCCTCCTCCTCCTCCTCCTCCTCCTCCTCCTCCTCCTTGCCAACGAGGAGGCGGCGACGGTCTTGCTCGATCCTTACAAGTATTACGAAACGATCGACCTCCGTGAGCTCCTTTTTCGTTGTCGCCAACTCCAGTTCCCACTCGGAGTTGCGTTGCTGGCTGTTTCCATGTACCTTCAGGCCAGATGGTTTCGGCTGGCTGGTTTCGTGGACGGCCCTTATTGGGCTGGGCGGGGAATCGTGGCGGGGTGCAGTTTCGCTACCAGCCTGATCTGGGTTTACGCTCTCATTGCCCTAGATAAGTTGTCGTTCCCTGCCCAGGTCCATTTCAAACTTTCTATTGACCATTCTGGTCTTTCGGCCACGGGCTCTAAGGAGTACATTCTCATTCATCTTCCGCCAGCTGTCGTTGCGCTTCACGATGCTTTGGAGGTTGGAGTGGGAGCTAAGGCTTCGGACGACCCTGGCAAACGCTCCTTAGTTTGCTCGTCGCTGGATCTGGGCAGAGCGCTCGGCCGACGGCTGGGCGGCCTGGCCGGCCCTCTCGTGAGCAGTGCAGCCAACTTAGGTGTTGACGACTGCGCCGGCAGGTCGAGGAGGAGGAAGGGGAGGTCTAGCAAGGCCAAGGCCCGGGAACACACATCGAAAGGTTTTTGTGGCAGGTTTTCGAGTCTTCGCCCGACCATTGTAGACCGCGTTGCGCGGAAGGTTTTTGCTTCCGGCTGGAGTGGGAT